ACAGTCTGATCTGAGATTAGCACTCTTAGCTGTGAGCCACTCCAGGCAGCGTGACACTGCAATCAAATGCTCCACCACTGAGCTCTACCCCCTTTCAATTTATTCAACTACTTCAGTTCAATTACTAGTTCACTGAAAGATGAGAAACCAATTGGGAGCTGAATGAGCCCTCACACTGTTCAGAACAAATGATTTTTTCATCCTGATTTTTTCATTACTTTCTGTGACATTTCAGCTCCTTGTACAGACCACTAACCAAAGGAAAGGTTGTTAGGGAATGTCAGGAAATGGTTTATACTAACAAATGATAAGTCTCTGAGGCAGGGAACTAAGAAATTGCAGGCATCCAACTTAGAGGAGATGAAGAACATTATTGTATATATGTGTTATCTTCTTAATAGAGATTAAAATACACTTTGCAAAATAGTTCTCTCATATACAAAAATCCTCTAGTCGTTAGGAGAGCAGAATACTGATGCCATCCAGAATAACACTGAGACCCCAAACCCCACACCTCCCAGCTGCTGTAAGGGAGCAGTCTCAGATGCTCGCTTCTGGCTGATGGGAGGGTGTCCCATCTCTTATGGCTCCTTATCTTCACTCTCCCATGGGTGAGAGTGATGGGGGAGGGCAGAGAATGGTCTTCTCTCTTTCCTACATGCAATGTGTGGTCTGGGATGTCCTAGTGATACCTCTGACCCACATGACCACTCATACCACAAGGCCTGGATTAGTGCTGTTGGATCCGGCCTTAATCCTCATTGGCTATTTCTATCATTTATTCAAGATTTCTAAACAGTGACATATTTTGGGTCACTGGTGTGCCCTTCACATGTGCAGTGAGGAGAAAAACCTGTCGAGTGACCTGTCACTACAACCTTCAAGTTCCAGGAAGATCTGTGCTCAGAGTTTCAGCCCCAAGAGCACTTATTTCCATAATTACCCTTTCTGCACCTTTCTCAGGTCGTTAACATCATTTATAAAATGGCACCCAGAACAATGGCCACATGCTGTCTGTAATGAGCCACATATACACAGACTGGAGAGTGAAGCAGAACTGCACTTAATGGAAAACCGTGAAGGGAACCCCCAACTACTTACATCAGTTTCGGCAGTTTGCAGTTGGGATGTTTCAGTCCTTCACACAGCTGTTTCACTCCTGATTCTCCCAGTTTGCTGCTTCTCAGGTCCAGCTCTTTCAAAGTTTGATTTGTACTGAGAACTGAGGCAAAATATTTGGAATCAGAGGCTGTGATACCACAGTGTCCCAAGCTGAAACAGACAAAGAAAAACAGGTGGAATTTTTTGCTTGATTCTCCAAAATTAACTGTATTCATTAGTGTGTTTCAACAGGTTCTCTTTTCCAGAGTCCTAGCACTATGATAATGCTATGAGGATGTTGTGACAGCTGCCCTACAGTTAAGGCTGAGTTACACAACAGTTCCGTTTAATAAAAATACTTTTTTTAAATAAAGTGCAAGTTTTTACAGCAGAACCTGAAATGAATGAATGAACAGATATAAGAGCATACAAGCATGTGCGGTGGGTATAATAGGTCAAGGGAGGCTAGCCTCCCCTACTCCAGGCCATGGCCCTGCCCACGCTCCACCCAGAAGACATGCCCTTGCTCACCCTCTCCGCCAAAGCCAGTGGGCATTCAGCTTGGGCAGCGGCCTGGAGCTCAGGGCATCCTGGGCCAGTGGGCGGCTTAGGCCAGTCTGAGGTGGGCCAGTGCTTGGGGTGGTTCGGCTGGGGCTCCAGCACACTGGGGTGGAGGTGGGGGGGCAAGAGGCAAGGTAGGGCCAGGGCCTCAGGCAGGGTCGGGGGGCTAGCCTCCCCAAAGGGGGGGCTTGACATGCTGCCCATGCATACAAGGTCAACAAGATCTGTAGTTAATGAATTGAACAAATTATTTGTGGTCACCATGTCCTTCCAAGATTTCAGTTAGTAGATCTCATCTTCTCACACCTCATTTCTGTTTGTAGATTTGAAGAGGAAAACAAACTTTCTTGCTTTTTCCACTCCCAATCGGTTTCTCAACTTTGAATGAAGCAGTCATTGAACTGAACTACTTGAATAAACTGAAATGAAGAAAGTATTCTCTGTGTGCCTGTAAAATAAACTAGTGATGACAAAAGCTGGATACTTAGCCAGTGACCTCAACCTGCTTTTGTCAGCAGTAGCCTCTTCTGCAGGCACACAGTGAATATTTTCTTCATTTCATAAGAACAGCCAGACTGGGTCAGACCAATTGTCCATCTAGCCCAGTATCCTGTCTCCCAACAGTGGCCAATGCCAGGTGCTTCAGAGGGAAGGAACAGAACAGGCAATCATTTAAGTTCACTCCTAGCTTCTGGCAGTCAGAGGCTAGGTACACCCAGGGCCCGATTAAGGTTATGAGGGGCTTAAGGCTAATAGGAGGGAAGGGCCTAAGTATGAATCACATATTAAAAAAAAATTATGACATCATCACACATTTATCTACATACATATTTACATATTATTTATTTATGTAAAATTAACAAGTTTATTCTACTCTCACTACACTCAATTATTCAAACAGATACTTCTGAGTAAGAGTTAGCACGAGGGATGCCACACTGTCCTTCTCTTAGGCCTCCTTCCTCCTGGGAAGTGGAGTGCTCATCTGTATGAGGATGAACACTGCAACATTCCCCATCCTGCTCTCCTTTCAGCCTTGTGTTTCTACCCTCAGCTCTTCACATGGCCCACAGGGCAAAGGCAATCCCTGCGGCAGGTGTTTCCCCAAAGCTACGGACTCTACACCACACACCCTGTCTCACTCTGACTGCAGTCTGGGAGGTAGCTAGATTTTACTACGTAGAAGAAAAACACTCAGGTGTAAAATCCACTGAAGTAGAGGAAGTAACTCTGCACTGGCAAGTTTGTGTGCAGTAAAGCTGCTTTAAGCGCTGTAACTCCCGAGGAGCACACAGTGCCAATCCACTTAGTGTGCAGAAACTGCACAGATGCAGCACCCTAAAAAAAACACCCCAATGAGAGGTGTAGAGCTTTCTCCACTGTGGCACCTGCACAGCGGTGCCAGTGTAGACACCATGGTGATTATAGTGCTATGATTGGCTGCCTGTTCTCACCTCTCTGACCATTGATTTGAACTCTACTGCCCTACCCCTCAGTCCCCTTCGGTGATGATAGAATCATAGAATATCAGGGTTGGAAGGGACCTCAGGAGGTCATCTAGTCCAACCCCCTGCTCAAAGCAGGACCAATCCCCAGGCAGATTTTTGCCCCTGATCCCTAAATGGCCCCCTCAAGGATTGAACTCTCAACCCTGGGTTTAGCAGGCCAATGCTCATACCACTGAGCTATCCCTCCCCCACTCAGTGCATCTTTCCAGGTGGCCATGCCTGCTCCATGCACCAGGTGATTCCTCCACTTGGAGCAATGCCAAGCTGCTGGACCTCATCGGCATTTGGGGAGAGGAGGCAGTGCAGTCACAGCTGCGCTCCAGCCGTCAGAATTATGATACCTATGGACAGATTTCTAGATGCATGATAGAAAGGGGCCATGACCAGGACACATTGCAGTGAAGGAGCTGCCGAACGCCTACTACAAGGCATGGGAGGCAAACTGCTGCTCCGGTGCTGCGACCACAAGCTGCTGGTTCTACAAAGAGCTGGATGCGATACTCTGCGGCGACCCCACCTCCACTGCGAAGGCCACTGTGGATACTTTGTTGGCTTGCATGTCAGTTGAGAGTGGACCGAGCTGGGAGGAGGCAATCTTGGCTGAAGAGGGGGAGGGGGACCCAGAGGCAGAGGATGACTTGGAGGCCAGAGATGCATGCAGTCAGGAGCTCCTTTCTGCCCTGGAGGAGCCTAGCCAGTCACAGCAGTTGGAGCTTGGTGAAGCGCAAACAGGAGAGGAGGCCCCTGGTAAGTGGATCTAATTTTGGGAACTGCTGAAGCGAGTTGTTGGGGGCAGGAGGGTTGCAGAAAGCAGGCTTGTCTCCCACCTCATGCCTAGCCTGAGCGGTGGAACAGGCGGTTGATACACTCCCTCACTTCACGAGAATCTCCCTCAGAGATCGCCAGGAAACTCTCATGGAGATACTGGGCAATCCGCTCCCGCAGGTTCCTCAGTAGAGCTGCTTTGTTTTGTGAAAGTAGGATGGATTAAAGAAATGCTGTATGTACCTTTAAGCAGGAATAAGGAATGTTGAAATACAGGTGTCAGGAAAAGAAACATTAAGGCATAAACAATGAGTCCACTTAAGCTAACGGTGGAACATTAACCGGAGATCGGTAAAATTTAGTAAGGAAATTAAATATGTATGTCTAGCCTCAGGTAAACTTGTCAGTTCTGCTTTCTTTGTCCTCTAGTTAAGTTCACACCCTTTTTATCTGTATAAACAAGGTAGTGTGGGTCTTGCATGGTGCTCACATTATCTGGGTGTATTAGCAGAGCGCTGTGCTAATAAACAGAGTGGTCTGACAAATTGTGAGTCCTGAATCTGACTTTGACAGTTTCTTGCCCCATTAATGGTAACTTTCCTGCGCCACTGTGCAATCATGAGGCGGGTGGGGGTCACCATTGCTGCACACAGGCTAGCTGCATAGGTGCCAGGGCGGAAGCCACAGGCTTGGCGAAGACCCTGCCTTGATTCCCTGTTCATCCTCAGCAGCGAGATATCTTCCATAATGATCACCTCCTATGGAAAGTGTGGGGACAGGAATGATTATCAGGCCCACCCTACAGCGCTGGCTGTCCCCAAGTGCCCAAGAGCCACATGCCCAGTGTACAGCAGGGTCCTGGAACAGTGATTTACCCTGCCCCTGCAGTTACTCACCATTGTGGGGGATTTGTGGCTCATGTATGCTTGTCTGGGGTCAGCCAGTTAGTGACAGCTGTGAGAGTACTGGCTGTGTTTTAAAGCACTGAAACAGTGTTGTCTGTGTTGCAAACAATATTGCTTCTGTAAAATGTTGCATTTAAACTTCACAGAGATGACCTTGGGAGCACAGCCGCCCTCTTTGTTATCAGCGGCAGAATGGTTGAGAAGAATTAGAAAGCGTCCAAGAAGAACTAAGGAGGACTTTATGCGTGAGGTTATGATGCAGTCCGCCACCGAGAAAAAAGAATTGAAGGAGTGGTGGGACAGTGAGAAGAGGGACCAAAAGGAGAATGCGGCACACCAGAAAGAAGCCACAGAGTGGCTCTTAACAGTTATGGAGCACCAAGCAGACACGCTCCAGGTGGATAGTAGCTCTTCAGACCAAGCAGGTGTGCGCCTGCCTTCCCCTGCAGCCACTGTCGCAAAACTCTTTCCCATGCACACCCCCAACACCACCAACACACTGCTATCAACCTCCTGTCTCCACTCTCTACCCGCAGCATTCCACTCCTCCCTCCTCACAGTCCAGCAGTGTGGACTCCCACTACGCACTGCACTCAACACCCATCCCTCTGCAGTTTGGCCCTGCTGAAGTCCAGCACCCGCTGCATTGTACTCCAAAGGAGAAGGTTGGGTATGATCCCTGGACATACACAAACCTGTAGTCATCCCAGGATCCCTCCTCCTCTTGATACCTTCCTTTCCCCCATCACCCTCCCTGCTGATGATTTTTTTCATTTGACACTCTCCTCTGGTTGTCTTTCAATAAAAGAATTGTGTTTGTTTGAAAGCAATCTTTATTCTATTAAGTGAAAGCAAAAAGAGCAGTGCAAAGCAACATACAATTACGTTAAGGACCCTTCTTGCATCTTGTGCACCAATCACCTCCTAGCATTATAAGCACTGCAATCCCAAGCATAGCAACAAATATTAGTGGCTTTCAGCTTCAAATTGCTCCCTCAAAACATCCCTGATTCTTATGGCCCCGCACTGTGCCCCCCTAATAGCCCTGGTCTCTGGCTGTTCAAACTCAGCCTCCAGGCGTTGAGCCTCTGAGTGAAGCTTTCACCCTTCCCTTCACAAATATTACAGCACGCAGCTATAAGCATAGGAATATTGTCATTGGCCATGTCCAGCATCCCATACAGGCATCGCCAGCAGGCTTTTAAATGCCAAAGGCACACTCCACAGTCATTCTGCACTTGCTCAGCCTGTTGTTGAACCGCTCCTTGCTGATGTCAAGTTGCCCCGTGTATGCCTTCATGAGCCATGGCATTAAGGGGTAGGCGGGGTCTCTCAGGATCACAATGGGCATTTCGACTTCCCCTACAGTCATCTTCTGGTCAGGGAAGAAAGTCCCTGCTTGCAGCTTCTTGAACAGGCCAGTGTTCCAAAA